CTGCCGCAATAAAATTGCTAGTTTCTTACAGTGTGCCTCCAGACTCTTGTTAGTTTGTTTGTCTGTTTTGCTATGGAACCAATGCCCCAAATGGCTACACATCTGGGATTTGTCCCACTTGAGCATGCATGCAATGCCTCCACTGAGTGATTCTAGTCAGACCCATCTGGGATCAGTCGACAGGGCCTTTAGATTAAGATGATTTCCTGGAAGACCTGAATGCCAAGACCTTCAGTTCTCGGGGCATGTGGCAAGAGTTAAACTCATCATTACATGCAGAGACATGTGTTGAAGCCCCAAAATAAGGGTACCTTTTTTAGAAATGAAAAGCAGCTCTGGGAGGCAAAGATTTTGATCAGAAAATGTGTGGGGAAGGGGATAGAAGTGTACTATCAAGCAACCTTTCTATTCAAAATTCCCCCACCAGTTGCTTCTGCTCCCACCCACCACCCACTGGATTGCTGATATTTGTTTCTCCTCTTAAATGCAGCTCATTTGTTCAAATTTGTCTCCCAAAGCTGATTTTCTTTTAAAAATAAAGCAAAATCTTCACCAGAAAATAATTGTATATAACATCTAGTTAATGACTGAAAGCTCCTTAAAAAGACAAAGCTTTTGGCAGCTATTTTAACTAGCAAGCTCCTTTTGACTTTGTTGTTGTTTTTACTTTTAGGCTCTGGCAAGTATTTGACCCAACCACAGCTCCCAGTTGCCTCTTTCCATTTCCCCAGTAACTCTTTGGGGCCTTACTTGGTAGCCTGCCCATTTCTTCCTAAGGTTATGTTCTCAACTTCTCTTTCCTTTTGTTCTGAATGGCATGAGGAGGAAGAGCTTTGTTTCTTGAGAGCTTTGTCATATCATGCTGCTAGTCCCCCAGGCCTCTGCTGCTGACATCAAAGGCGCTGGAGAGCAGAAGTGGCATTGCAGGGGAAGGACTTCCACTCAGAACAGCAGGAGCTCCCGAAACAGAGAAATGAGCTTAGGCAGCACAAGGGGGATGTCCCACTGTTAGCTGTTGCCGGTGCTGCCTTGAGTTGATCAGCAAGAATAGAGAGGACGCGCGTTGGATTGTTGAATGAGGTACAAAAATGAGCATGTTCGGCAGGAGTTCTAGGACAGGCATCTCAACTTTGAGTGGGGAGATTTTCTCTTGGTGAAAGCAGCAGAAACGGGGTCAGGCTTTCTCGATCACACACACACACAACTTTTGGTGCTTCCAGGCAAAGGGCTCCCAGCACTGCCAGTCAAAGGCAACTCTTCTGTGTCTTCCTCCTTACAGGGTTTTCTGTGGTAAGAAAGAAGATGGAAGAAGCAGCAGGGAGATGCGGGAGAGTTACAATCTCTGGGTCCGCCATAAATGGTGTGAATGAGAGAGGTGCTGTGCAAGCCTCATCTGGGAGCCTTCCCTCGCATCCTCTGGATGCCTTTTGAAATGCCAGGGATGAGGCAGCGTAAGGACGCTTTCTTGCAAGCAGGGGTCAGTTCATAGAAGTCCAAGCTCCCCTCTTCCCTGATCCCCAGGAAGTTCCCTGAACAGCCTTTCATGTGAGGAGAGAATCCTCACCAAGCGAGGGTGTTTTTCTTTCGTAGCTACACAGTGAGCAAGGAGGAGTGGACACGCTTCCCTGTGGAGTCCCAGTGGCTTCTAGCGCTCCATCCCCAGTGCGGTAGCAGCCACAGTCTGCCTTCAGTCCCCTTGAGATCGGCCCCGCCGTTCAGATGCAAAACCTCATGCTCTCTTCCTTTGATTGCCCGCAAACAGCCAAGCTATTCCTCACCACAAGCTGCTCTCTCAGAAAGAAATGGCCAGTACTTGGTTGCCACCAGCCCTCAAAGCAGTTGGCCATGCCTAGAAAAGCCAAGGAAGGGAGTGGCCCTCTTCATGTGATTCGAGCCAGTGCCGTTTCCTGTAGCGATGCATTGTTGGAGTGGCACGATTGCAGCTTCCTATGGTTGAATCCCAGATCATCCCAGCAGCATCTGAAAGCTGGAACACGTGGGTTAGACGGAGCCATTCCATCATCCCCCTCCTGTTTGGGTGCTGATGTGGGTCATTCTCTTATGATTGCCCTGTCCCATTTGATCTGAGCCTTCAGAACGCCCCTGGGGTAGGGCGAGATGCACCATGCCATGAGACAGCCTGGCCAGAGCCATCCAAGGCTTCTCACCCCATCCGAGGCATCTCCCCCATCTTTGTTCCCTGTGACCCTTCCAGACTGCACGATGGTCTTCTCTCCCGTGCTCACCGTACCACGGGCACTGAGCTGATGCTCGGGAGCGGTACTGGCTGGGTCAGGACCCAAGGAAGGACTCGCTTTTCTTGCAGACAGCACCACTTGGGTGTTTGCAAGGCTTTCTCGCCATGCAGCCCTTTACATGCCAGAGCAGCTCAGCTCAAGGTGGTCTTTCTGCAGCCCTAGCAGCACAGTGTGGGCTGGGACCAGAGGAAGCCCGAGCCACGTACAGGCAAGTGGCTATCTCAAGAAGGCACGTGCCAATACAAGCCCTTCTGACTCGCTGGGTGGCCCAACTTTTCCTGGGTTGTTAATTAAATCTGCTGCCTGAACAGGAATTGTGGGGGAGAGATTGCCACATCTTACTAGATCAGCTTTCATTTGGCACTCGATGGCAGTTAATATCTCAGTTTCCCTATCTACAAAATTAAATGAACATAATGGCAAACCAAGTCACTTATTCCTGATGAATTAGCTGAAAATGAAGAGTGCCGGAAAGAAACAGATAAAAATGTCATATATAACTCCAGAGTTCGTATGGGGACATCTAAACAGATATGGTCACTAAATCGGCAGATGCTGCTGAGTGATTGATTGCTCTGCAGGCAGCTCGGTTCACAGATGCTGTAGATGGGCTGATAGTTGTACTGGGCAGAGTAGTCGGCTAATGCGCTCGATGGACGGGTGCCACGGATTGCTGGAGAGAGCCACAGACGTTGCTTTGAGAGCGTCGGGTGCTAAGCAGACTGCCGTTATCAGGCTGTTCCTGCCGCTCTCTAGCCTGCCTCATACTCCTCCCGGCCTGCAATCTTCCTCTTGGAGAGATGCAGGAGGTTGGTGAAGCCATCCTGGGCAGCAGCTGCAGCGCATCTCCGTGGGGTTGGCCCCTGCTGCCGAATGCATGTTCCATTTCTGCTTGCAAAAGAAACCAGGCCTCTGGCTGGGAGAGGGAGCAAGAGAGAGAAGTGGGCTGGAGATGGCCTGGGTGGGGTGACCAACTCCCGTGAAAAGCGGGTTCTCGCTGTGGCTGCTGTGGGTCCCTCGCTGGCTTTAGATTTGTTCGAGGGGTTTTACTTCATCTGTTGGGAATGAGAGGGGCAGCTGTCCTTGGTGCACATTCCCAGCTTGTGTCACTCTGGAGGCATGAAAGGAGAAATCCTGGGAATGTGGGACTCCGGACTTTGAAATGAGAGGAGCGGAGGGGCTTATTCAAGGCCATCCCCTCAAGCACTCAGGCAGGCTCTGGAAAGAACCACGAGGTAGAGCTGTCAGGCTGTGCGTGAGAGAGGAGCTCAGTGCCCAACAAAACTGGTGTGATGACCCCAGGGCACGGCTGTGGGAGAAGAGGGCGGCTAGCAGGGAAAGGAGGTGCTCGCTTCCCCCTGGGCCTGACATGTTCAGGAGGGTTTCCAGATGTAGTCCTTAGACTGGGGTCAATGAACCGCTTTTTGCATGCTCAGAGATTCTTTTGAAGTGATTGTGTTTACTGAATATACTTTGGTGAATAAAGAACATTTGCAAAGGTAGGGTCTGCTGTTTGGAATAAGTGAAGGGAAGAAAGCCCTGCTCACAGCAATGTCCCGCTTTTATTCCATTTTTGCAAGGAACCCCGAACGGCTTGCATAACCCTCCTCTGCATGTTATCTTTCAAACAACCCGGGGAGGTTGTTCAGGCTGAGAGTCAGTGACTGGCCTGAAGTCCTTGGTGAACTCATCTGAGTTCAGAGGCTTACAAGCCTCATGATTATGGCATTGAGCCCTAAGTGGTTCCCATTAGAGTTCATCTATAAAAATAAAATGATGGCAATTATTTAAAATAATTGTGATTGTATAAACTAAATAATTGCATTATTTATGTGGGTTACTTGCTGTGTATGGCAATGCCTCTTTCTTTTCAGTACCTTCCTGCAGCATTTCCAGTGTATCCTTCTCATCTGCGTCTTCTAAGGAAAGCCCAAAAGTATGAGCTCTCCTCATCTTTACCAGGCTGTGTCACAGGTGCTTGTCCAGTCTCCTGGGACCTCCCATCTTCCAGTGCAACAATTCCCAGACACTTTACCTCCTGTTCTCACCAGCGACATTGCCCTTCTTTCTTCCTGTCTTCTCATGCTTAGAAATCCCTCCCAGAATTGCCCACGTGGTCCTGCCTCTCTTCCCTGCAGTCCTTCCTCCTCAAATCCCAAAGCTTTAACCTCATCCCCAACTGAAATGAAACCTAAGTAAGTTTCCCAAAATGTGTCGACATGTTATCCGCTTTGCTTCTTTCTCGTCTTCTCAGTCCCCGTCCTCCTTTTTGTTACCTGAATTTGCTTCCCCTTTGTTGTCTCCTCACTACTGATATTTAGATTTCAAGTTCCTCAAGGCAGGAATCTGTTTTTCTTGCTAAGTTGCGTGTATGGATGGTGTTGCCTTAATAACACTTCCCCTCTTGCTTTCATCTCCACACCCCTTTCTTCTGGCTCTTACAAAAAAGCATAATACATGTTGTAGAAGTAGTTCTAGCTGCATTCGCTGGGCCTCTGCTAATGGGTGTTGAGGTTTGAAACAGGAGGCTGTATATGCAAGAATACAGTCCACGCTTTAGGCTACTAAAATCAGTGGGCATGCTCTCCCTGAACTCGCTTTGCAGATTGTGGCCAGCAGCATCTGAATCTGGCTGGATGAACAGCAGGGGCCTAGTGCTGAAAGTGGCATAAGGGCAGCCATGCTGAAATGCATCCCCGAAGTTCACTGCACCACTTTAATTCTTGTTTCTTGTTTTCAAAGGTTATTACTTTGAAATTCCCTCCATTGGGGCCATCCGAATCAACACACAGGTAAGAAAAGAAAGAAGAACACTCTGGGTTTGATCCAGACTTGCTCTCCAAGAATGGAAGAGCTCCTTCCATTTGAAGAGGTAACTAGGACACAGCGGCAGCTTCCGACCAGAGGAAGGAGACCAGATAGCCGTTTCCTCCCAGTCCCTTTGAAGCCATTTCTGTAGAGAGCCCTCTTCCCCCCAGACCAGTCTGGGACATGGCCCTGCGGGCTGCAGGGAGGAGGGGAAATCAAAGCCGGTGGCCACTGCACACGCTTTCTCCAAGTCAGCAGAGCACAGGTCTGGATCCAACCCCACGTTTTCGACATGCATGCATTCTTTCCTACCCTAAAAGGACCTTTGTCTCCATCCAAGCTGCCATTTTGCATAATATGGAGCAAATGAGAATCAGAAAAGCTTGTTTCTGGCTAGGTGTGGATGTATGTTTCATACACTTTGGGCTGGATGTTCACTCACTGGTATGTCTCCTGATGCTCACCCCTACCCTTTCTCTTTATGTGACACCCGCCATTATAGTCCGAATGTTGTCAGACCACTTATAGCACAACTTGCTTATAAGCTGCATTTTCCCCTGCGCGGGGTGTGAGTTTGTGCACATATATCAATGTGTGCTGAAGTGAACTTGCAGAGCCGGGATGAGGGACTTCAGTAAACTGGCGGGCCTGTGGGAAAGAGGAAGTGTCCTTTTGGGGGCCTGGCAAAAAAGCAGTGAAGGAGCACCTTAGGTTGCTTTCCAGCCTCCCTTGCCCTCCCCACACTTCCAATGGCCTCTCCCTCCCTCCCTCCCAGTCTGCTAGAGAGTAAATGCAGTGCTGTGCCCCAAGGAACGACTAGCTGGAATTCATGTCCACTCAGAAGAGAGTCACATCCTTTCCAGTGGCCTTACGCAGAAGTAAAATATTTCACTGGCACTTACACTCAGGCAAGTCAGGAGAAGGGCTGCACTTGCTTTCGGGAAGTGTTTTTGGTGAATGGGGATGGGGGCACCAATCCCACTTACTTCACCCCTTGGGCAGCAAGAAAGTGGTGGCGCGGCGGTGGCGGCGGCAATGTGCCCCTTGCCTTTCCCAACCAGCTTCTCCCTCTCCAAGACTCTTTGTGAGAAGACAGGAAGAACCGTCATTAAAAAAAAAAAATCTGCTCTTTCATTCCTCTGCCTAGTTGGAAAAAGAAGGGTTTGTTGTTGTCGTTGATATTTTAGCAAAAGACCACTTCCCCTGCACACATCACCTCTTGAACGCCTGCTCCTTCCTCCGCCGTCGCATTTGTGCATGACGCAAGGTCATGCATTCAGCACAGTGGGAATTGTGCTGTGTTCATTTGCGTGTGTCGCAACGGCAGCAAAAGCCTTTCCATAAGTAAAGCAGAGCTGCCTGATTAACGGATCTGCCCTCGGCTTAAATCTGCATTCAGTGGAGGGCTTGCCATGGCCAGCATTAGCCCGCTTCTCTGGGCTCCACTGCCTTCAGAATGTCAAAATTTGGCATGGCTGCTACCTATAGAAAAAATCCTGTTTGCATTTCTGGATGTTAGGAGAGCATCACTATGGCAGAACACCAAGAATATAACTGGGCATGGATGAGAGAACATGATGTGCCCCTTCAAACCTGTGTCCTGAGACAAAGCCCACAGTGCTGCGGACACCGTATTTCATCTCCTGGGGAACTCTGTCCCTCCTGCCTGCTTCTTGTCTGCTCGGTTGCCTCGAAATCCTGTCACCTGTGACTCAGAGCATGGGGACCTTGCCCTTTGCCGCAACCCTCTTCGTTCTGGCCACTGCAGAACTCACAGGCCCTTGAACAGCTAGACTCTGGAAACATGGCAGTGCCTGCAACCTGGAGAAGAAAAGCAGTGGCGCTAGGCAGGTTGGCGTTTTATTGCAGGAAGTCCAGTCAGTGCATCAGTTCCTGTCCCAAAGGATGCTCAGATCCCGTAGCAGCAGGAAACTGTGGTCTGCAGGCCTAGAAAGAGTCCTTGCTGGGCATCTTCTACAAATTCCTACCCAGCCGACTCTAAGTGCCAGTCTTAATGGGTTGAGTAAGCCTGCTGTTCAGGCCACGGCTGTGCTCAGCTCAGGTACATCCAGTCACTTTAAGGATATTTGATTACCCAGAACCAACATAGAAACAGAGCAGGTCAGGAGGGGCCTCCCGGGCCATCTAGTTTGACCCCCAGCTCTAGCTGGCTCCACTCATAACATATCCCAGTATAACCTCAAAATCCCACTGGTGACAGAAACCATAAAAGGCTATAATCTAATACCAGGCTCAGTGACCCAAGTGACCTGTCTCACCTTGGAAATTCTCAGCCATTGAGAAACCATCCCGTTTTATCTGGCAACAGGGCAACACTTTCCCCCTTGTTGTCAGAAATGGCATGGCTGTTTCTCCTCAATCGCAAGAGCTCTTGGTTTCAGGACAAGGTGGTGTTGACTTCCTCTTACAGCATTACACGTTGCTGGCCTAAGTAAACCTGGTTACAGCCCACAAGCTGGTCCAATTCCCTGCCAAGTACTGGGGTTTCCAAGATGCCTTTGACCAAACCAAAAAAGAAAAAAGAAAAGATGAGTCTTGGCCCTACTTTTTGCCCAAAGGTTCATTTGTGCAAATAGTAATTTGTGCAAATTTGAGAGATCTTGACATTTGTGCAAATTGTGTCATAATTTTAAAATATTTTAGTGATTTTGCACAAATGCGCACCATTGCAACACCACCTCTCCCATCCCGTAAAGGGAATCAGTTTCATCCTTTCCACATGCTACTTTTTTAGTCCTCCAGGGCCATATGCCACAACTTCCGGAGAACGTCGATTTCATCTTCAACTTGGGCACCTCTCATGTGAGGGATAAATACTGCTCTGCTAGGCTAAATGAAATAACTTTGCAGCAGATTAAATTGACCAAGAGGTTTTCAGGAAGACACTAGGTCTCTGCAGGGCGCCGCATTAGGCGAACTTGCAATCATGCACACTCATGCAAGATCGCCATGGCTGCAAATCAAGCCAACCGGCAGTGGGGAACAGAATGAAATTCACAAAGCCAAGCCAGAAATCTCTGTCAAATTTCCTTTCCCCAAATGGAATTCCCCTACATCCCTAATTCGAACACAAAGCTCTGCTAGTATCCTGACCTCTAAGCCCACCCGGTGTTCCTGCACAGACGTGTCAATGGAGTAAACTCCCATGCTTGTTCTGTGGACTTGTATTTATAGGGCTAATTATTAAAACTTTGTGCTTGAATCAGCACGCAGAGGAGCAAGCCAAACGGCCCAATCTATCAAGCTATTAGAGCCGACAAACGGTGTGCAAGAGAGGGAGCATGGGATGAGTTATTAATGCCCTGAAAATGGGGTGACGAGGCAGAGCTAATAGCTTTCCATTCAAATGATGCCTAAATCTTCAAGCCAAAAGCCAAGGAGAAAATGGGGAGAAAGGGCGGTGGCACAGGCGGGGGTGGGGAGAGGGAGGGAAAGAGAGCATCTTGCGTGGCGGTGGAGAGGGTCGCACATGCACTGTGCAACTGGATATAGTTTGAGAACTATTCAGTCAATTGTTCCAGGAGGTGAGCAATCCATACTTTCTATCCTAATCTCTTCCTAAACCTATTTTCAATTCTGTTGTTTTTCTGACCCTTTCTCCTTGCTTCTCAAAGTCTGGGAAGAGAATGCACAGACTATCTAGCTGATATAACTTGGCTATAGAAGCAGCTTTACGAGCTGTTGCTTTTAACATGGAAAACGTTCAGCATATTAGCCCCATATGACAGCCACTATAAGTTGCTTTTAACAGCTGTTAGATTCTTGGCGCCTTTTGATCTCAACTGATACATGCAGCATTCTAATAAAAGTCAGTCAGGTAGACTGGTGGGAGAATTAAAACAAGCTGACATAATCTCTGATCCTGGGAAGAGAGAAAGTAGAGCCCCCCTTTCTCTGTGTCATTTTGAAGAAGCCAAACTACTCTCCATGTTTTATTTACTTTGGTGCTGGGATAATACGGGGTTAAGGTGTTGGCGCACGTTGTGTGTGCACTGGTCACTTTCAGCCAAAAGGTTAATAGTTAAGAGATCAAACGTTTTGTTAGAAAGTGAAGCTATCAAGGATTTTGCCCTGGAAGCCAGAAGATTATATAGTTCAACAGAAGTTTGGCGGAAGAGAAAGCGGAAAACATTTTAAACTCATGAAATAGAAACTTAGTTTGTCAAAATAACAAGAAACTGCCCTCCTGGTTAGTTGGAGTTGGGGAGAGGGAAACCCAATTTTAAAAGATAAAAGCCTCAGGCGAAAAGGCAGAGGAGCAGAGAGGCAAAGAGAAGGAAGCAAAGAGTCCAAGAGGGAAGGGAGGATCAGCAGCTGCTGGACCTGAAGAACTGGCTGAGAGGAATCTGGACCAGAGACTAGGATGCTGCTTAGCTAAGGAAGCCTGATAGACAGGGACACATTCTAGTGAGGTTCGCTGGCTAAGTTCACCTATGGTAGTCTTACTACCCTATCGCTCATAATGGTTTTGCATGTATCCATGCAAACGTTTGTCTGTTAACATTGTTCTTCACAAACAATTACAATTGTCTTCTTTGACACTTTGAAGGCTCTTGTGCGTTACCCATCCTGCATCACCAACCTCCATACCATCAGAAGGAAACCCCTAAGCCCCAGAGGCTTTTATCATCAGATTGGTGGAAGCAGCCACAGAACTAACGACCTTTGTGGTGGCAGGGGAAAAGGGCACCGGAAGGAAGGGGCCAGCGAGAGTGCAGGTGTGCTAGTTGGTTAGGTTTCCCTTCCACTCAAAATGTGTAAGATGAGCAGCTGGTGGAGATGGCAAGCGCATCATAGCCGCTTCGGGCAGCATGGCTGTGTTCAGACGCCAGGCTGGGATAGGACCGAGACGGGGCCTCCCCCCTTTCCCACAGTAAGCCCACGCTCAGGCCATGCTTTAAGCACCAGTACTGTGCAGTCGCTTAAAGTGTTAGGTGTGGAGTTTCAAATGCAAACCTTTGAT